CCCCCCCCCCAGATCCTACTCTCGATTGAGATATATTCCGTTTGTTTGGTATGATAATTTCTTTTTTCAAGCATTTTCCGAGTTCGGAGCGGACTTATCGGTATATTTATCTGAAACCTAATATTTCTCTTGCATTACAGAACAATTTAAACGAGAGGGAGTTGAATGCACTGAAGGCAGTAATTAGATGTGTTGAGGATCATAAGCTTGAGGAGCAATATCCTCTGGATGCCCTTCAAAAACGAGTTCTTCACATGGAGAAAGCCAAGGCAGACAAGAAAAGGGCAACTGAAGTTCCAAAACCACAACCTAAAAGACCTCGGGCTAATGGGGTTAGACATTGTGCCCGAGTCACTAATGTTGCCCCCGACAAGAACTTCTATGCTAGAACGGACAGGTACCCACAATACATGTATGCTTACACCCGTCCTACGGATACCCATGTCCCTGCATTCTTAGGTACACCCTACAATCTCTCTGGGCCTGTCAACTTCTTTGGAAATGGCTACCATTACCAGGCAGCTTACCTGCACTAATACTACTAAAGTGCTGTACTTGTTAGTCATTAACCCTCTGAGTGTGTTTAATTTGAACCTTATGAACAGTTTTTATTCATGAAAACGCCCCACATTGTAATTTAGTCTTCTGTAAAAGCTAATGCGCGCTTTAATGTTTTAATATGGCACAATGCTTCAAGTTTATGTTTCTGTCTCATTATGTTCTCTCTATGCACTATTTTCTTTTCTTTTGTTCTGCTAAGAGATTGAAGAATTGTTTATTTTACTGGAGTCATATAGATATACATAAATCACCCCTTTAACATTAAGAATGATTTGTGCATTTTCTTTGATTACTTCACAATAAGAAATGAATACTGTACATCTCAAGATGATGTTACCTGGAAAATTACAAATTTTATTATTTTTGGAACAAGACTGACCTAAACTAAATTGGATAATGCTAGTGTTACCCCATATAAACATACCCCATTTGGCACATTAATGTTTTGTATTGGCAAAACATTGGTAGTGTGGTTGATAATGTTTTGCACTTGCATTCTGTGCTAATGTATATCAGTGCTTTGCTGGTGCAAAACACTGGTGTACAAAATGGGATACGTTTCATTAGATAACACTACCAAAATCCTTTTTTTACAAACGAAGTTCACAATTTTTTTTGCCAACTAAGCATGTAGTAATAGTTGAAACTTTGTTAAGGTTACACATATTAAAAAATATATAAATTTGATACTCGGGGTATTAGATTGAATTTACAAAATTAATTGAAAGATGTGAATATTACTACTTTTGGGATGTATTTAGCAAGACACCCCTATCTTCATAGTTTAAAAATTGGATCCTAATGGTGGAAGGTATACATACCCTCTATACTTCTCTTACAGCATAATCTCTCTCTTTCATATCATCGGCACATCATCTTCTACTAGTTTTATTTTTTTTTCTTACTTCGGGTAGTAGTGTACATACGCCAATTCGCTAACTTACTACTCCCTTTGTCCCGTTTTAAATCGTCTGTTTTGACTTTTGAGCATATTTAAGGTTCAGAAAAAATAGAGTTGATTTTCCAAATTTGTCATTACTTTTTTGGAGGGGTTACGATGAATGAGAAGATAAAATGGAGAAGAGTGACTTATTTTAGGAGTAGTTTAGGTATTAGAATCTTAAAAGTTTACGATAACAATTAACATGCAACTTATTTTGGGATGGAGAAAAAATTCAAACAAGCAATTTAAAATGAAACAGAGGGAGTACAATAATTTTTAAAATAAATAAATTAAAAATCAACAATGTAAATTAATTTTAAACTATTGTTTAAATAATTAACTCCAACCAATAACATAAAATAATTTTAAAATGTGTATTAAATACTTCATCTATTACTACGTACAAACTAATAGTTTGGGTTTGACTTTTCGTAGAGTTTGATAAAATAAAATGTATAATTGAAAATAATGTAAAGAGTTTGATTACATATACAAAATAAAATAGTTAAATAAAATTAAATTTTTTATATAGTTAATTCTAAAATACAAAAATAATAGAAACACAAAATAAAAATAGAAAAATAACAAAATTGGAGGCATAGTCTAATCATTATGTTTGGCAAATGCTTAGACCTCCATACTCATGCTTCTTGGTAACACCACACAAGGGGCAATGTTACCATTTTAGGAGTATGTCAAATAACACCCAACCTGAATTTGGTACCAAATTATGTATGTTTACCTTACCTTACCCATGTGTTCACAAAAAAAAAAATGTTTACCTTAGCCAAACCGTCCATCCTAAAGCACCATAGAGTTTATCTCCAATAACTGTTCTTATTCCAAACCAACTACTCCTTATAATTACAATATATACCTTACAACTGGTGGAGTTGTGGTATGATATTTCACGTATATCCGCGGGAATACTCATTTTAAGTAACTAAATACTAATTTTTGCATGACTGAATATTGATTTTTCTAAAGTTTAATTATGGTTAAAATAAGTACAACTACTTAAAAATAAATATTCATGCAGATATACGGTAAACAACGTACATTAGATATATGGTAAAAGTAGTCCCCATAAATCTCTATCAAACAAAATTCAACAGCTAACTTAATTATATACCATACAATCGGTTGTATGGTGTATTCTGTACATTAACGGAGAGTGCTCATTTTTACGAGTAATTGAATGTTCATTTTCGAGTAAGTGATTACTCATTTTTTTAAAATTTAGTTATGTTTAAAAATAAGTATTCTGTTACTAAAAAATAAATATTTAATTAGATAATGAATATTCATGCGAGACATACCATACTAGGGTTGTAAACAAATCGAATCGAAGCGAATATCAAGATATTTGAATTTATATTTGTTTAATTTTTTCGAATATGAATCGGAATTCGAATATGAGACGAATTAAAAATAAGAGGATTTGAATTTGTATTTGATTAATATTCGAATACTTAACGAATCATAAACGAATATTTTAATAATTATACTCCATAATCTATATGATGGATCAACATAGATTTTGAATAATTTAACTTACGATACTTCTTATACTATATCTAAAAATATTATTTTCATCTTACACAAATTATATTTTATAAAATATAACTAAAAAGCATATGCTTTAGATTTTCGTAATACATTAATTGGTTAAATTCTAGCTTAGTACTACGTAATTTAAATATATTTTATACTATATTAGTTTATTTGACTATTGATGTTAAAACATGATTTGTGGGTATATATACATATATTCGAATATTCGAATATCACTCGAATCGAATATACTTATATTTGTATTTGTTTAATATTCGAATCAAAACTAATATTTGAATTTGAATTTATATTTGAATAATGAGATTTCGAATCATTATATTCGGATACAAATCACGAACCGAATTAAAAATATTTGATTTGTTTACATCCTGTACCATATCTCAAATGTATGTACTCACAGTTAAGTAACAAATTTCAGCTTGGCCTAACAATTTCCCTCCAAAAGGCCTCTCGCACGACTCTCTTCGCTTTGATAACTGTTTCCCCTCCGAGCCCTTATTGCCGGTGGAATTTGCTATACAAATGATAATTGACGAAATAAACTCGCCGGATCTCCGGCGAATCGGCCACGATGATCCTCAATTTAACATATGCTATCAAATGGAGTTATCAATCAAGGAAATTGAGCGTCATTCGCCCGGAAAGCCCTTGCCGGAGACCCTCTCCACAGAACTCCAGCGCTGCATTATTCAACTGTCTCCGCTCGTACCGCTTCCCAACTCAGTCAAGCTGCAGATATGGAAGCTCAGCTACCGCCTCTGGAACGCCTGTGTGGATCTCTCTAACGCCGCAGGAGTCAAATCCTCCGCCTACAAACTCAACGAAGAACACGCGAAACTGCGGCAAGCCTCGGCGGACCTACTCGTCCTCGCCTGCGATGTCTCTGGTATTCCCTCACCCGCTTTTAAAACCGCATCCTTCTTCTATAAGACCGGCCTTATTTGGCACGAGCTTAGGAAGTTCGACCTCGCTAACAATTGCTTCGAGAAAGCCACTGATCTAACATCCAAAGTAAAAATCAGTTCGATTTCAGATGACGATGAAAAAAGGCTTTTATTAGACATAAATATTGCTCGAGCGCGAACAGCTTGGGAAGTCTCTGATCGAAACTTGTGCATTACGTTGTTAAATCGATCGAAAAACCTGCTGTTTGGAGTTGCGGAGAACTACAAAGCTTTAGCAAACCAGTACATGATATTCGCGAAGGCTCTAATGTCTAAAGGTGAAGTTTCCGGAGTAAATGAGGAAACAAAATTGATGAATGAAGCATTGGAGTTATGTGAGAAGGGATTGAAAATAGTGAAAGGGGTGGAGGAGAAAACAGCTTTGAAGGATCTGAAGTCAAAGACACTTAGATTTATGGCTGCATCTCATTTGCAGAGAGATGAATTTGAGAGTGCATTGAGGTGTGTGAAGTTTTTGAGAAGCGGTGAGAGAGATGAGCATCCTAGTTTGAGTGTGCTGGCCATGAAGGCTTGGTTGGGGTTGGGCAGGTTCGTAGAAGCAGAGAAGGAGCTAAGGGGGATGGTATTAGATAATGGCATTCCGGAAGGAATTTGGGTTTCGGCAGTAGAGTCATATTTTCAAGCTGTAGGGGCTGCTGGGGCTGAGACTGCAAAGGGGGTGTTTCTTGGACTTTTGGGAAGGTGTCATGTCAGTGCCGGTGCAGCACTAAGGATTGTGAATAAGGTGATAGGAGACGGTGGGTGCGATGGAAAGGATGCAAGTGTGAGGGCAAAGGTGGTTGCTGAGCTGGCATCTGATGACAGAGTGGTGGAACTCTTTGCTGGAGAGGCAGCTGCCAAGGAGAGGACAGCCATGCATGCTATTCTATGGAACTGGTACATTCATGAACATTGACTCAATTTCTCCTAAGTGTTCTCATGTGTTTCTCACCGAGCGTTGCTATCTTCCTGATCATAGTGCAGCTTTCTATGGTAGCTCTACAATAACTTACATCTATAAAAATGGTAGAGTTGTTAACATGTTTTACAACATATTCTCTCATTATATCTTATTGCAAAAGTAACTGCAGAGTTATGCTCTTTCATGAATTCTTTCATAATGAATCCATCTTTGGTAGCAAAGCAAAGTGAAATACATTAATTAGGATAATAAGAACAGTGTTTCTTTGTTCTTGCATCTGTGTTCCGGGAAAATGTGATATAAGTAAGTTCTCACCACTACTTTTTCTTTAGATGGAAAGATGGGGATATGAAATTCAATTCCAGTCAGAATATTGGGTAGAGCATATTTGTCCTTTCAGATCTTTTATTTGTGCATAACCATACGGGGTTCCATATCTAGAGAAACTCTCTAAACACCGTACCTAGAATGATGATATTCAATTGTTTAAATTACTACTTTTGCAGTGCTGCCGAACATTTCCGTTCAAAAAATTACCAGATCAGCGCAGAGATTTTTGAGAAGTCTATGCTGTATGTTCTTTATGATATGGAGGGTAGAACTATCAGGGCAAATGGATATAGAGTTTTGTGCCTTTGTCATCTAGGCCTCTCACAGCCTGATAGAGCTGAAGAGTACATTAATGAGGCTGACAAGGTATGTTTAAAAAAGACCAAAGTAAAAATTTTGCTCTTTTGAGTCTCTTCAGCTATGTTATGATAATACTTTATACTTTTGCAGCTTGAACCAAATATAGCTACTGCCTTCCTAAAGGTGACCTTTCACTTGCCTCACCCTTGTCAAGGAGTATGTAACTGAAAATCGGAATGTATGTTTACACTTATGCTGAAATCTTGCAGTTTAAGGTGTACCTACAGAAGAATGACAACAATGCTGCCACCTCCCAGTTGCAAGCAATGTTGAGTTGCCTAGATTTCACCACTGACTTTCTCTTCCTAGCTGCTCATGAAGCCACTGCTTCCCACTCTCTTCCAGTTGCCATAGCTTCCTTTTCCCACATCTTAGACTTATATTCTGCAGGGAAACCAATGCCAACTACTGAGGTCGTAACGTTCCGGACCTTAGTGGCACTTCTATCTCACGACCATAACAATGATTCTATCATCCTCAAACAGATGAGACGAGCTCATGGTAGAATGTGTGACCTTGGGCCAAAAGCCTTTTTTGGGAAAGGTGAGGCTGGAAAACGTGAAAAAAATTGGTTTTCAGTGAATTCTTGGAATTCTGGGGTAAGATCTGGAAAGGAAGAAAAGTATGACTTATGTGCAGAGTTCTTTAGACTTGCATCGGAATTTTATAATGCTGTGACTGATGAAGAAACAGAAGGGAACAATATGATGGTTTGCCAGTCACTGATATTGTCTGTTTCTGCCATTATTGCTGATGAGAAGCACAAACATGGTACACTCACGGAAACTGAAGTCAAGCAGGCCATCACATTGCTTGATACGGTGCAGAAGGTAATCCATACAACTCCTGGTCCTCCTTTTATTCTTCTTAATGTCTTCTTTTGCATGTGTGTTGAAAAGAAGCCACTAACATTTGTATTATACAGATACTAAAGTCAACTGCAGGTGAATCCGACAATTTGTTAGAAACGATTGGACACAACTTTCTCTTTGCATACACATGGAGTGCATACGATCTGTACGGGAGGTTGGATGGAATGGGTCACCAACAGCTTCTCCTAATAAAACAGTATGTCAACTCAAAGACCAGCACCCCGGACGATCTCCTCCAATTAGGCCTCGATGCCTCACAAGGGCCGCGGTCAAACCAAGAAGTAGCGTCATTTGTATTGAACACGTGCCTTTCTGCCCTCCTGGCTGCCCCACTGCCCGATTATGCCACGGTCGCACTCGTCCTCAGAAAACTAATCTCCCTGGGGACCGTCTGGAAGGGCGACACGCGCGATGACAGCGTGATGGAGATGTACAGGCAAGCGTACAGGATCATGGTGGGGCTGAAGGAAGGGGAGTATCCAATTGAAGAAGCGAAATGGCTTTCCATGACTGCGTGGAACCGTGCAGCGGTGCCCGTAAGGCTGGGGCATGCCGAAACCGCCAAGAAGTGGATGGGTATGGGGTTGGAGTTGGCGAGGATGGTTCCCGGGATGCAGACTTATATCTCATGTATGGAAGAGTTTGTTGCTGGGTTTGAAGAGGGAGTTCAGGAGAAGATGGACACTGGTAAAAGCAGCGCTGTATTAGTCAGCTGAATCTGATTCTCATTTAGTGTAGATAGTGAAAGATTCATCAGGGAATGATTTTTGTCATAGTATCAGTTGGCCATCACTCGCCCCATATCCCCAGTCCTTTGTCATGTTATAGCCAGCTTTCATTGTGTTGTTGGTCACAATGTTGTTACTTGTTGCAATTTAAACATATAAGTAAGGCTTTTAAATTAGAATGTACCACAACATTTAGACGTACTAGTATCACACTCGTGCATTGCACGACTCATATTTATATTATGAAAATATATTGGTGTCATTATTGAAGAATAGAAATGGACTGTATGATGAAAAATAAAGTTGTAAAGCATTAATATCAAATGAATTACAAATTGTGAAAAACTTCTTTATAAACTACAATATTATTCATTAATCATTGATTCCAACCTCATGTTTTTGTTGCACGCAACACAGTGCAATGTATCCAAATGTAGGAGGAATTAATTGCTAAATTAATAATATCTTGTCGGGTTCATTTTGAAAAGACTGGTAATTTTGACAAAAATCTCTACCAAAGACGATTGTTTTCCTCCAAACGTTTTATTTTCAGTCATTGAATTGGAAAATCATAGAATATCGCACAAACTTCTATATAAAGCTTCAAATCAATACTTATGTATCATTTGTGTTCTGTCCCAAATAATTAACGTTGCCTTCGCTGGGAGATTTGCTAGTGGAATTTTTTGCTTTATGTTGCAAGTTGAGTTTCCATTCGGGTTCAACGGGATTTCAAAATGTCAATGGGATGTTCTTCCACCTGGCAAAAGTAGTGATGTTATTTGACTTGATGCGAAATTCGATACTATATCATATCTAGACTGTATTGCATTAGATAAAGTTCTCTATACATACGTCTTGCCAGCTCTTGTACAAATGATGAAGAAAACTTTACCTGCATTTGTATCAACGAAATGCATTATAACATCATACCTTGCATGTTGTTCGTCATTTAACGCACCCAAAATGGTGAGTGCTCACTTTCCAAGGCTACACAATCGTTATTACGTGTATACATATGTATATATATGTACGAACACGCAAGTCCTAGGCTATAAAATTGGAATCACAGATTCTAGATTCCTGGATGCATTTATTTCTTTTTTTAATGCTCATTAATCATTGTAAAAATTGAGAAACAAGTATCCTAGTTTTAAATAATCATTCTGCGGAAATCAAAGTCTTTTATGCTTTTCATCCCATTTTTTATAGAAGATTTTACTTAAATAGCACTAAAACATAATGACTTTCCTTAGATAGCACTACATGTGTTTTTCTTCCCAATGTAGCACTTTTAGTCATTATGCATTAGTCATTATTCAAGTAAATATTCGTCATCACAGGACATTATGGACATTATTAAGTGCTATTTATGGAAGTGACTTAAGTTTTAGTGCTATTTAGTGCAAATATTTCTTTTTTATATTTATATGAACTTTAGATTAAAATTTATACTCCCTCCATTCTTATTTGACTATCCGGATTGGTTTTCGAACTTAAGATTTGACCAACAATATCTCTTAAAATATATTAGAAAAAAATATTAAAAACAATACATTTAAAGTAATTTTCGATTCCAATAATTTGGTATAGTTTTATATTTTAATTCATTGTATATTTCTATATATAGTTAGTCAAACGTTTCACATACAAAGTGTAACGGACTAGTTAAATAGAATCGGAGGGAAAATCTAATATTAACTAAAATTATAGTAATAAAATCTTAATTATTAATACTCCACCTTCAATTATCAATTATGCACCTTTTTTGTAATAATAATAATAATAATAATAATAATAATAATAATAATAAAATTACTATTATTATTAATACCCGACTAAACTATTATTATTTAATTATTAATACTCCACTTTATATCTAGTAATTGTTATGTGACATTATTACTGTTATACTTGTGCATGATATTGTATGAAGTTATGAGCTAGTGAGTTTGTCTATGTGTGTAGTCGAAACGTTAGATATTTATCACTTAGCTTCCATGTTGAGCGCATAACATTTTTTCCTATTTGCTACATGTAGATAACATGAATGATGTATAAAAAAAATAATCTGAAGGGAAGCGAGGACGAGAAGATAGATGGATGCTGGCTGGAGGACTTTAGTTAAGATTAATACCATATTTGAATTTACTATGGAGTATGTTTTAAAGGGCAAAACCCAAGTTGTATTTTGATTTAAGTATTTTTGAGACTGTAAATTCTCTGGACAGCCCGCACGGATTTGATCATCGCCGGAGATCCGACTGTTGGATTTTGCTGAAATTTTCAGAGACTGTTCCCAACACATAGGGCTTCAACGTGTTCAAATTTCACGTCAATCGGAGTTACGGATCTTCTGTTATCGAAGTTACAATCTACGTGGAAAGAACTTTCTAGGTTGCGACATGCCATCCTTGGTGGTGGTAGATCAAGCGGCACATCGGCCAGCGCATCTGCGAGTGCATCAGGCAGCGCATCAGCCAGCGCCTCAGGCAGCGCATCAGCGAGGGCATCAGGTACTGCCACTGTCAGAGTGCCTACTGGGCCTCATGGCATGAATGTCACTAGCACCTCTTCCGGAGGGTTTACACGTTCCACTGATGAGTCCAGGATGCACGATGATGAGAGCATGGACTCAGACGAGTAGATAGAGCATGAGCATGACGATGCTATGAACCTTGGACCGAGCGTAGCATACTTTGATCGCTCTGGCAGGTGATTCTACATATATATCTTATTATTTGCATGTATACACAATTATAATATATATTATAATGTTGTAATTATAATATCATGTAGTGTCGTCTTCACGGAAGAGGGAGCTCGGATCATTTGTTCCACATTCCAGCAGAGGCTTGATCCAACAGGGGGTAGTTGGAAGAGCCTAAGCGACGCGACTGTGGACTTTTACTGGAGAGAGTTTCAGGTAAAATTTGGTTAGATACGAATATCAAATGCATGCTTTCTATATTTTGTATTTTATTTAAGATATTTTCTAACATGTACGGTCTAACTTCTTTTTTTAAATTTAGAAACATGCCACTTGGGACCCTCGCATTGATGATAGCGTTATGTTCCGTGCTTGGCAATCGAAGGCTAGAAGACGATACACCGACTGGCTCTCATCTATTAGGAATGAGAAGAAAGGAACAGAGAAGGTGCAGCCACTTGTACCGCAATCGTGGAAGGAGGTATTTCTAAATATCTTTTGAATTGATGAGTTATGTTATACTTAGCATCAAATTGTGTGTATATATTTGTATTCTTGTATTTATATGTTGTTAAACAGTATTGGAAGTCACCAAAGTTCTTGGCATCCTCCAAGCAAAACAAGAAAAATCGGCGTGGCGGTGACGAGAATGCCCCTGCTAGCGCCACGCACACCGGTGGTCCATTGTCTTTTCGCGAGNCGAATATCAAATGTATGCTTTCTATATTTTGTATTTTATTTAAGATATTTTCTAACATGTCCGGTCTAACTTCTTTTTTTAAATTTAGAAACATGCCACTTGGGACCCTCGCATTGATGATAGCGTTATGTTCCGTGCTTGGCAATCGAAGGCTAGAAGACGATACACCGACTGGCTCTCATCTATTAGGAATGAGAAGAAAGGAACAGAGAAGGTGCAGCCACTTGTACCGCAATCGTGGAAGGAGGTATTTCTAAATATCTTTTGAATTGATGAGTTATGTTATACTTAGCATCAAATTGTGTGTATATATTTGTATTCTTGTATTTATATGTTGTTAAACAGCATTGGAAGTCACCAAAGTTCTTGGCATCCTCCAAGCAAAACAAGAAAAACCGGCGTGGCGGTGACGAGAATGCCCCTGCTAGCGCCACGCACACCGGTGGTCCATTGTCTTTTCGCGAGACTCAAGCGCGCCTTGTAAGTATTATTAGTAACAAAAATTACCTATAAATGTTCTAAGTGACGTATTTTCACTTATTTATATATTTTATTTTTTTAGGGTAAAAGTGGAAAGGCTTCTGACTTGTACTCTTCGTACACACACACACATACAAAGAAACATGATGGGAAGACCTTCGTCAATAAGAAGGCAGAAGAAGTATCAATAAGTGACAATGAATATATATAATGTATATATAAATGATTAGTTTTCGTTGGATTCAATTGAATGTGAATTCATACTGCTCATTTTATTTTACTTTTTATGTTACAAAGTATATATATACATCTATGTTTTGTGTATTGCAGCAAAACTACGTAGCCATGCAGGAGGCAGTTCGTGAAGAGGGCTTAAATGTGACACCTGACGAGATTTTTCTATCTACAATCGGAGGATATGATTCCAAGAATCGTGTTCATGGTGTTGGAGATCTCGCACGGAGCCTACCACGAATGCATGCAAGTGAGGCAAGACGTGCTAGCACCAGCTCTATGTGGGACTCTCGAGATGATGAGATTCGGAGGTTGAGAGAAGAGCTAGATGAAATTAGGGCTTCCCAAGCTCGTAAATTATTGTCGATTAGAGAAGAGATGACCCGACTTTATGGAGGAGTTTTCCCACATGGAAATGGAGATGGCGGTGGAGATGGAGGAGGGGCGGGATTTGCAGGAGCTTGTTGAGTGTTATATTAGAATTGAAGAACAATATATTAAACTTAAGTTTTATGGTTATGTAAGTGGAGTTAGATTTGATTGTTATGTTGAATTTTTATAAATATTACTTGAAATTTAGTTGTANAGAGATGACCCGACTTTATGGAGGAGTTTTCCCACATGGAAATGGAGATGGCGGTGGAGATGGAGGAGGGGCGGGATTTGCAGGAGCTTGTTGAGTGTTATATTAGAATTGAAGAACAATATATTAAACTTAAGTTTTATGGTTATGTAAGTGGAGTTAGATTTGATTGTTATGTTGAATTTTTATAAATATTACTTGAAATTTAGTTGTACATTGGTGACTTGAATATTTTTGGTTGTTTGGTAATCTTCATTTCCAGTAATTTTTGTTGTTTGATGCTGGGATTTCTGAGCTTTGCTATGGATGTGTGCAAAATTAAAAAAACAGCAGCTTCCTGGTACAACCTGTCAAATTGGCAACAGAATTGGCGACGGAATTGCATTTCCGTCGCTATATGGTCAAAATGAATATTCCGTCGCTATTTCCGTCGTCAGAATTAGCGACGAAAATTTTCCGTCGTGAGTTCCGTCGCTTAATTCTGTCGCCAATTCCGTCGTAGACTAGCGACGGAATCAATAATCCGTCGTTACATTTACTACTAACGAAAAATTAACGATGGAACACATTCCGTCGTTATTTCCGTCGTTATGGAGATTACCTACGGAAATAAGGGTTTGGCGACGGAATTCCGTCGCCATTTCAGCAGTTTTTTGTAGTGTACACACTGTTGCTGATTTTTTGCAGAAAACACTGCCTTGGTTTTCTCGATGGTTGGAGTACCAAATCTTGTCTGATCGTGCTGAAATTTTAGGAGGAGTCTAAGGACTCGTGGAGATTCAATCTGAATGGTGGAGATCGAATTTCAACGGTTCAATATCGAGTTATGAGCTTCTGAACAGCCTGCATATTTTTGTAGATCAAGAAGAATCCTTATTTGAAGGTGTATTAGAATCTACGTCCTTGAAGAAGATCTTTGAGAAGGTGTAACAAGCCGTGGAGATAGACGCAAACCGAGTTTGTCGTCAAGTCATTCGCAAGTAGACAAATCAATACATTAGAAGGTTCTGTTGTGATTGATTGTGTAATTCTTACGGTGATTTAGTGGAAGGGCTATTACACGGACGTGGGCCTTGCAGACGTAGGAGATACTGCTCCGAACTGCCTAAACAAATCTCTGTGTTTTTATGTGTTTATTTCTGGTTGTGTGTGTGACTATTGGAGAAAGTGTTGCAGTGATTATTGGAGAAAGTGTTGCAGCATCCTGCATGTGCTAAAGTGTTGCGTATATTTCTTTGGGAGTGTTGGAATTTCAGTTTACTCTAATGAATGTTTTAAATAATGTTATTTGAATTAAATGTGTTAAATTGTTTTGAAAATTATTGTGTTTGATGTCAATTTAGTAGCACCCAAAATGGTGAGTGCTCACTTTCCAAGGCTACACAATTGTTATTACGTGTATATATATGTATATATATGTACGAACACACGAGTCCTAGGCTATAAAATTGGAATCACAGATTCTAGATTCTTGGATGCTCATTTATTTCTTTTTTTAATGCTCATTAATCATTGTAAAAATTGAGATACAAGTATCCTAATTTTTAATAATCATTCTGCGGAAATCAAAGTCTTTTTTGCTTTTCATCCCATTTTTTATATTTATATGAACTTTAGATTAAAATTTATACTCCCTCCATTCTTGTTTGACTATCCGGATTGGTTTTCGAACTTAAGATTTGACCAACAATATCTCTTAAAATATATTAGAAAAAATATTAAAAATAATACATTTAAAGTATTTTTCGATACCAATAATTTGGTATAGTTTTATATTTTAATTTATTGTATATTTCTATATATAGTTAGTCAAACGTTTCACATGCAAAGTGAAACGGACTAGTTAAATAGAATCTGAGGGAAAATCTAATATTAACTAAAATTATAGTAATAAAATCTTAATTATTAATACTCCACCTTCAATTATCAATTATGCACCTTTTTTTGTAATAATAATAATAATAATAATAATAATAATAATAATAATAATAATAATAATAATAATAATAATAATAAAATTACTATTATTATTAATACCCGACTAAACTATTATTATTTAATTATTAATACTCCACTTTATATCTAGTAATTGTTATGTGACATTATTACTGTTATACTTGTGTGCATGATATTGTTTGAAGTTATGAACTAGTGGGTTTGTCTATGTGTGTAGTCGAAACGTTAGATATTTATCACTTAGCTTCCATGTTGAGCGCATAACATTTTTTTCTATTTGCTACATGTAGGTAACATGAATGATGAATAAGAAAATAATCTGAAGGGAAGCGAGGACGAGAAGATAGATGGATGCTGGCTGGAGGACTTTAGTTAAGATTAATACCATATTTGAATTTACTATGTTTTAAACGGCAAAACCCAAGTTGTATTTTGATTTAAGTATTTTAAGCTTCCGCACCATTTTTGTTTACTCTGATGAATGTTTTAAATAATGTTATTTGAATTAAGTGTGTTAAATTGTTTTGAAAATTATTGTTTTTGATGTCAATTTAGTAGCAACACGGTTTGCTAACTCGTTAGTTCGGATTACGGAGGTTGGGATGTAACAACTCGAATATAAATTGAGCTATAATCTTATAATTTGGCGTAAAGGTGGGGTTGTGTGTCTACTACTTGCAGGGTCGCAAAAGTTCACGTTTTGCATAATTTACCTAGCTATTAGATTTCGAATTTGGATTTTTGAGTTGTGCGGACGATTGAGCTACACCTCACCCCCACCTTACATTTTTTCGGTTACAATGCAACGAATCTGTGATCAAAATTCAATTTAATTCATTTCAATAATTATTCAATTGGGTGTGAGAGTATCTTCTGAGTCTGAGATGAGGCACTTCCTTTTTTTCCTTTTAGAATGGAAGTGGATAAGGGATGAGATAGCAAATCCAATGAAAGGCTCAGACGCGTGACACGTCACCACATATCTGACCGGACGGCATTAAAAAATTGACATGAAATGCCCTTTTACACCCGCTTGAAGCTTCTTCTTCTTCTTCCTTCCTTCTGAAACTGCAATCCGAAAAAAGGATCTCGCAAAAATGGCAGCAGTTGCTTCCGCCGCCATGGCCGGCAACCTCAAGAGCACCCGGCCTTCTTCTTCTTCTTCTTCATTGACCAGTTCTTTTGTCAACCCCAAGGGCATTTATGGAATCCCCTTCAATCTTTTGCCTGCAAGAAGCAGAAATCCTCGCTTCACTGTCAAGGCTGTCCAAACTGGAAAGGTAATTAATAATAACCGTATATATACTCTTTCTTTTCCATGATTATTATTCTTATTCAAATAGGAATTGTTGAGATCTGATCCATGAAGACACAAAAGACGTCAAACTCAATTACTTGGATACAAAATTAGACCGGTCTAAAATTTACATTTTGGATCTTATTTTATTTTTTTAGAATACATATGCTTTAAAATTAATAAAAAATTTTAAAATATGGGTCTTAAAATTTTAAGGGCCTTGTGCGGTTGGTACACCCTCCGGGCCACTGGCCAAAGAACGATCTTAGATACATGTTCTATACTTTCCCATTTTGATATAATCCTTTTCATTTGGATATTCTCCCTCCGTCCGCCATAGCCATAGACCTTCTAGACTTTTGTACACTATGTGTGGCAAAGGAAATAAATGTAGGAGAAGGAAATAAAATGGAAAGGGGGAGAAGTGGAGTGAAAATTGTACTTGGACTAGTTTGTTTGGTTGGAAAGAAGTGGAGTGGAAATTAATTTCGTGTTCATTTCATTCCATAGATAAGGGGAAAGTTTTTTCAATTGAATTTCAATTTCTCTTCTACTTCCCTTCTATTTCAATTCATTCATATTTGATATTTCTCTCCAATACTCAAGTGAGTGAGGTGTGGTAAATACTTAAGAGTTAATAATGTTTTTTATTTCTGAAATAAGAGTGAAAATGCATATACAATGCCACTATACACATTACCAAAAAGTATTGTAGAATGTCCTTATACAATGTCACTTTATCATAGTGTAAACTCCTATTTTGGGATAAAAATATAGAGCTCTTGTTTTTATACTTTATCTAAGTTTTACTCTTATTTAGTATGTTTTTTAAATAAAATAAGTAAGTAGTATTTTAAATGTTAAAAAAGGTAATGAGAATATCTTTCACAGACTAAGAACATCTCCAACGATAGTCGGAACAGAGTCTGAAGGAGAGTGACTCTCTTCTCTAGACTTTATCGTTAGGGTGTATAGAAAATGAGAAAAGTCTGAAATTGAATCTTTGAATTCCCAGACTCACTCTCAAGACTCTCTACTCCATTCATCCAATAAAAGTCATCCAATAAAAGTCAGACACGTATAATCAACAATAATTATTTTTTGAAAAAAAAAGTTACAATTATTTTGTAATAAAAAAATCAATACTTCCCAACTATAAAAAAACTCAATCGCCAGTTATGTCCACTTATATAAATTTATATTGTTATGTTTTTTTAATACTTTTTATTTTATGCAAATTTATACATTATTTTTTAGAACAAAGCGCATTCTTTTATATAATTTTATACAGAGTATTTCAATTTTTTAATGCAAACAAAACACAAAAAATCAAGGAGCAAATGTCATATCATTTTACATCTCAATTATCTTTACTCATGTACTCCTTAAATTTAATTTATTGTGTTTTAAATTTTATTTTATGGAATTTATATTTTATGTGTGTTTACTTGAATGATTTTAATGAAATGTACTTAACTGGTGTGTCGTGGAATAAAGCAAAATGATTATCTAAACTGTCTGCACTTCTTTAAGTAATGAAGTAAAAGTTTGTCAATCAATGTAACTTTTGACGCTGAGCCGGGGGCCTCTTTGGAAACAGCCTCTCGACTTTCAAGTAAGAATTCAAATGGGTTGTTGTTGCACTTATTTTATATGTGTGTTAATTTTATATAATTTTCTCTATAATTCTATGTTGTTGACTTTGTTAATGGTTAATTATATTTACAAATAATTTTGGTAGAAAAGATAGTATATAATAAAATTATGGGAGAAGTACGGAAATAGCACTAGGATATGTGATTAATGCCCAAAATAGCACTGCTATCCAGAATGGAAGTCCCGCGTGGACATGAGGGTTTGAAATGCCAATTTTGCCCTTTTATAACAAGTATCACCAAATTTTTGGCAATTAGCACTTGGTTTTTTGCCACAGTGCCATCATCACTACCACCGCATTGCCTCCCTTCGCACCACACTATCATCATCACCACCACCATCGTCGCCACACGTATTGCCGCCCACCACCACCACATATCTCTTTGTGCTGCCGCCACTACCACACCGTCGTCACTACAATTCCATCGCATCCGCCACCGGCCCACTGCAATCCTGCCACTATCACCTCCACAACCACCACCACACTGCCATAATCATCGCCAAATTGCACGAACCTGCACCGCCACACTGCAAAAATCCTCCACAACACCACCATCTCCACTGCCACACTGTCACCTCCATCGCCACACTACCACCACGCTGTCCGCTATCGCCACACTGCCTCCAATGCTGCCGCCACACAACGACTACCAACGTCACACAACCATCCTTTGCCGCCATAGTGCCATCATCACCAAAACCATCGACGCTTCCACACTACCTGCCACCACACTATAAAATTCACCACCACACTACCGCCCTTTTCCGCCACACTGCCACCTCTTGCTGCCACACTTCCACCCTCCACCGCTACAGCGCCACATTGCCTCCCGGTGGCAGCAGAGGAGATAAAGGTGGATCCGATAGCGAGGGAGTGGCCGGTAAAGAATTCTAAATTTCAATATAGTTGATAGGAATCACTTTCACTTCATCTGCCACTACAATCGGGCATCGACGATGGTGATCGTGCTTTGCTGGCATAAATTGATGCTGAATCACTTCAAAAACATCGAAAAACTGGTACTGGTCATTGCCAATTCACTTCATCCATGGTTGGATTTTTGGCTGATCAAACATCGAGGACATTGAAAAAAGTCTGAGAATAATTGGATCTAAGGCAGAAAATTAGGGTGCGGTGACGGTGGTTTTTTTTGCAGCACTAGAAGAAGGGTAGATTAGGAGTAATTTCATGCCTAATACACTACTCACTCCTACGAAAGTAAAAGAAACAATAGCAGTGCTATTTTAGACTTTTTAGGTTTTTTTAGTGCTATTGATGTAGATTTCATTAAAATTATATATTAGATAACTAATTAAATAGAAATAAAAATTAACAAAATAAAAAGTAGTGGAATACTGATGTAGCAAAATCTGTAAGAACTTGAGAGTTGGGGTAATTTTTATAAAACTCTGAAGAAGAATTTAAAATACTAAAATGCTGACGCTACAAAGTCTTAAAGACTCTGAAAACTCGTTGCATTGGGGATGTTTCGGGTGTCCTACGAAAAAAGGTGTTTGAGAATATCTACGAGGGATGAAGGAAGTACTAGTCATATAGGGTTTGTTTGGCAATAGCTTTGATATTTAAAGTTTAAACTATGCATTAGAGGATGGATTTAGCAACTTTGAAGTGAAAGAATAGATTAAAGTCATTTAACCATTTTGGGCATGGATCTAGTCGCACCTTTTAAGTTTTAACTAAACATTGATTAATTTTTTTTTAACATTCAATTTTGTAGCCTACTTTTCAAGTGATTCAGCCGCTGAACGGAGACCCATTCATCGGGAGTTTGGAAACGCCCATAACCTCAAGCCCACTCATCGCATGGTACCTCTCCAACTTACCGGCCTACCGGACTGCCGTGAGCCCACTTCTCAGAGGGGTTGAGGTGGGCCTGGCCCACGGGTTCTTTCTGGTGGGCCCGTTCGTGAAGACCGGCCCATTGAGGGACACGGAGTTCGCCGGAGCTGCAGGGTCGTTGGCCGCCGGAGGTCTGGTGGTGATCATCAGCATCTTGCTGACAATGTACGGAATGTCGTCGTTCCAGGAGGGGGACCCACCGCGGTCCCCGTCCTTGACCCTGACGGGGCGGGTGAAGAAGCCCGATCAGCTGCAGACGGCGGACGGGTGGGCCAAATTCTCCGGTGGGTTTTTCTTCGGCGGGGTCTCCGGCGTCGTCTGGGCTTATTTCTTGCTCTATGTCCTCGACCTCCCTTACTATGTTAAGTAGGATTGCTTTTGTTTGAGTTCTGTGTATTACTGTTTGTATTTTGATTTGATTTCTGGAAGTAAAATGAAGCCTGCAAAATTCATGGGTGTGGAATTTAGAATATGTGTGTGCAAAATCTTAGCTTTGCAAAATGAGCAAAAAGCAACAGACTCAAAAAAATATTGAGATGATAAATCACAGTACGTTAGGCCCCGTTTGGTACGCAGAATTCAAACTATGAAATTAGAATTGAGGACTTCAATTCCAATTCTGGTGTTTGGTAGTACAAAAATTATGTAGATTTGGAATTGATAGTGCAAAAATGAATTGGAATTGGCAGAATTCAATTCTATGGAATTGAATCCCATGGAATTTCTATTCTAATTTAGTTCCAATTCCATCAATTCCGTATACCAAACGGATCCTTAAAGATTTTGTTTAGTGTTTTGTGCAAACAAATAACGGCTATTATTAGATAAAATTCTCACACTGTCGCAATTGAGATTCAATTCTAAAATCTTAGAGCATTTGCAATAGAAGGATGTGGGTGGTGTTGTGCCGTAGGGAGGGGCGAAGGGCCGGCACTATTGCAGGGAGAGGGGCTACGTCTGGGGCCGGGCTTCGGGAGGGGCGAAACAGCATGACGACTTCCATTGCAGCAGTTATGCCGTGCCGCTTATTTAATTTTTTATTTTTCTTAATTTCAAATTGAAATACTTCCTGGGTTCTAAATTAGATTGCATGTTTACTCTTTATAGGTTCAAATTTATTCACTTTCTTTCATTATTTTCGTTAGTCAGCTGATGAAATTATATAGTCATGTCACGAGACACGACTAATTTTGTAGATTTTTTGTAGTTTTTGAAATATATAACTTTTAATTCTATACCGTTTTCCATATAAATTGATTTGAATAACTCTAGTCAAACATTATAAATGGAAACAGACAATTTAAATTAGGAAGAAAAGAGTAATATTTTTTTAAAAGAATATTATTATGTTATTACTTATCTAATTTTATTAATAGGTAAATATATTTAAAAAATTTATATAAGTTTTTAAATAAAAATAATGAAAATTGTAAAATAAGTAATGACGTGACAGTGAAAAGGGCGGGCGAGAGTCAGTCCCATTATACGTGCTCTTAAGATTATTTTCCAGAAGAGAGAAGATCAAGATGAGCTACTCGTGTGACTTGACTCCACTGTTTTTAAAAGATAACCTCATCCCTGAGAGCTCTCTCAGATCTGATATGACGATTACTAGAAGAAGATAAATTAGATTTTGACGGTTACTGGGGTGAGATAAATTATATTTAGAAATAATCCTAAATAAGACTAGAACATAGATAAAAGTATCAAAACAAGACTTTCATATTTTTTCCCCCCAAAATAGGACTTCACACTGTGGCAATGTGATATTTTATATGTGCACATTACTATATTTTTTCGGTTTTAGTACATGATAATGTTTGGTAATGTAAATACATTTTAAGTACTATTTTGAGAATAAAAACATGAGAATCCAATTTTGATATATTTTCAATTTTTTAGTTCTACTTTGGTCTTTCTCTAATTAGATTTTGATCACAGATTAATAATAAACAATGGAATTATATCTGATACTTGTAAAGGCTCTATGCTTAGCATAGTTATTTCTCAGCGCAGTTATTAGGCACAATTATTAGGGATCGAACTCAAGTCTTACTTTCTTAGAGCACTGGAAATGGTCATTCATGGTGTAAAATATAGCGGGGTGGGTTAACCGGGTTTGACCTGGACACACTCGACCCGTAATATAACACACACAACAAGAACACGAAGTATGACCTAGACCGGGCAAATCTCCTCAGTCCGAACTATATTTCTTACTATATCTCAAGAGTGAACTTTAGTGAGAGAAAAATTGGCCCCCCTCCTCTATCAAATATCATCATATTTATAGAGGAGGATTTGTGACCTTCCCCTGTTCATCCATGGACAAAATAGGAAGCTCGTGGGAAGGTCTGACATCTATTACCTTCGTGACATGTTAGTGTCTGAACGATGATTATGTTGGTTTTTTCGTGACAACAATCAAAGACTAAAATGGATATTCTCAATCCAATCAACCCTGCAAAATGACAAACATCCCTTTCACTGTATGCCTCGTGACGGATGAGCGGCGGGGTGTCCCCTTGACCTCCGACGTGGTTAACCATGCCTAAGAGACTGGACCAATGCTAGCAAAGTATCAAATTATGACCGGTCACCTTTTCTCAAAGGTTACCCGGTCATTTTTTGAGCTCAGCCCGTCTCTTTGGTCTTCCGGAATATCCTTCGTTACATAAGGTGACATTTTGGCTATCGATAGTGGAAGTGACCGGTCAACTTTTGACCCGTCCCAATTGAAGAGTTAACCTCATTTGGTGATTGGTAAAAGTGACCGGTCATAATTTGACCTGTCCCTTTCGGTTGTCCGGGTTGGGTATAGGGATATACCCATCAAGAAGTCCTCCACTTACCGGCCTTGTGAGGAAATCATTGAGGGCGGGAAGTATACTTGTGTTGACCTGTCACTTTTGAAATCATCAAGTCATTCCCATGACCTGTCCTTCTTTGAAATCATCAAGTCATTCCCATGACCTGTCCTTCTTTGAAATCATCAAGTCATTCCCATGACCTGTCCTTCTTTGAAATCATCAAGTCTTTCCCTTGACCTATCACTTTATAAAGCCATCAAACCTTTTCTTTGGGTACCTGTCCTTTAAGAAATCACCCTCAAGTCATACCCATGACCTATCCTCTGACCTGTCGCCTTTTAGATCTGATCTAATCATTCTCTATGACCTGCCACACTTGGATAACGTGGGGGAGTCCAAGCATCAGGCCTTGCTTTTCAATTTTGGGGTTTCCCTCCAAAACCTTCCACCTTCCATATTCAAATTTCAAAAAATTTTCTCCTTCATCATTACCCTTCCACGTGTCACGCCCTCGGTTTCCCACCTGTCGCCTCGAGTTCCAAACCGCCTCTCTCTCTCCTATAAATACTCCTCCAACCCATCTCATTTCTTCACTTTCCTCCTTCGCTTCTCTTGATTTGCCCGGTCAACTTTCTCTCTCTAGCTCTCTACCAAGTAAGTCCTCCAGTCCTCCTAGTCTTTTAATTCTTCCATCTTTCCATTTTTGACCGGTAGGCCTAGGTCATGTCTTCTGATAGCCAAAACATATCTGGTCGATCATATGGATCAGGCTCTCAGCCCTCTTCCTCTTCCCACTTTGAATCTTCTTCTCCTCCTCCTACTCCTTTGATCCGTTGCCCCTCACAACAGTCTAACTCTCAGGCCCGGGAAATAATTGCCCAGGAGCCTATCCCTTTGAATCAACTGCCCGGTCGATTCAATCCCAAGGTCCTCAGCTGGGAGCAATGGGAAGAACGACTGGGATCTTTGGGCTTCCTAGCCCTTGATGTTAGACCGGTGTTCAAAGAGTCTTCTAGGGTTACCAAAAAGGTTTTGGCAGAAGTCCGTACCATCCTCCCACCGGGCTACAAAGTCCTTTCCAAAACCACCTGGCCCAACATCATTGAACCGCACCAGGGAACCCGGTTGGGTTTTCATGTTGCTTCTCTGGAGGGAGGTATTATTTTTCCTCTTCGCCCCCTCCTTATTGAAATCTGTAAAAAGTTTCATGTTTTGCCCAGTCAACTTACTCCAAATGCCCACCGGTTCTTAAATTGTTTTGTTAATATCTGTGAAAATCTGAAAATCAACCCTTCCCTTGAGCTTTTCCTCCACATGTACGAAGTCTTGCCCGGGACTAGTAACTGCCCGGGCTTCGTCTATTTTCATTCTCGTAATAAGAGATCTTTTGTGACCGGTCTTCCCCCTAGTCACAAAAGATGGAAGAAAAGATTTGTTTTTGTTGAATTCCTTCCTGACCAATTTCCTTTCTCAAACCCTGAGTGGGCTGACCGGGTTATAAAACCTGAAAGGGTTCATCCGGAGCCCACTAAAGATCTTGAGGACGCCTGCGAGAAACTTCTCAAGGGTGATCCTGTGACCGGGAAACCTTATGCCTATGGGGGCTGGGTATTCCGGCTACCTAACCCGGATGGGGGTGCGTCTGCGACCCATGACGCTGAGGATAACCGGGCTGATTCCCCGGATGGTCACGCTGAGGCCGGCTCTCCTCATCCAGGTTGGTTAATTTTCCTCAACCTTTTGATTCCACTTTCATTTTGATAAGGTGTAAAATCTAACCGGTTACTTTGTTCTTTTTGGCAGACATGAACTTCACTAGGATGTCCACTCTTTTCGAAGATGATGACAATGATGTCGAAGTCCTCAACTCCAACTGGTCTCCCAATCACAACCCTCCCTCCCCTCCTCAAAACCCTGGAGTTGAAGGGGCTTCAACTGCCTGGTGCTCTTCCTTTGACAATCTCATTCGAGATAAGCAGGTGAAGTCACCCTCAGCCCTCCATTTCTCCGAAGGCGACCGGGTTGATATTCTCCAGGCCCAGGTTGAATCCAAGTCTAAGGAGGCCGGCCATTCTTCTTCCCGTGCTAAGGGCTAGAAAAGGAAAGGGTCCCAAAAGAGCTCCAAGGGAGACAAGAAGAAAAAGGTCAGGTTATCAGATAGGGAGGAGGAGTCCATCGAAGAAGCCTTCCTATCCCTGGCCAAAAAACTCAGCAAGGTACTTCATCTTTGGTTTTCCTCCCGGTTAGAATATTTCCTTTGCTTTTATTGATACACCTCTCTTTTTTTTTGAATTTGCAGGCCGGGGTCATTTCAGAAGAGATTGGCCAAAGTCTTTTGGAGCCAAAAAATCAGATCTCCCAACTCACCCTTCTCCTTGATTCTGCCAAGCTGGAGATTAATGACCGGGCAGAAAGGGAGAAGAGGCTGGAGGAAGAGTTGAGGGAAGAAAGGGCCAGGTTTGCCCTTTTGGAGGAGGAAGGGAAGAGAAAGGTGGCCGAGCTCGAGGATGCATTGGGCCACGCTGAAGAGGCTGCCCGGTCAAAGGAGGAGGCATTCCCTACTGAAGCTGCTGGCTGGGCTGCTTGCCATCACTTGGAAGTTTCCCGGTCTATTCTCACCACGCCGGAGGAAACCATGGACTTCTTTAAGACCATGTATAAAGAACCGGAAGGGAGGAGGATGATAACTGAGATCGGTTCCTATGGGTTCCAATGCGGCCCAAAGGAAGAGAGGTCCCTTCTCTATGCCAGGCTCCAAAAGAGGGATCCATCCTTTGACCCAGCCAAGATGCAACTCCCGGCTCTATACAAGGAAGAGCCAGCTCCCCCCTTTCCCCTAGAGTAGGTTAGGGTTTGAATTCAAAAACTTTAAATTTTCCCAAGGGGGATGTCCGGCCTACTTTTGATTTGTATGAAACTTTAATTTTCTTGACATGCCTTTTACGTTTACCGGTCTATTTACTTCAATATGCACGGTTGAACCTCCTTTCTTATATGGTTGTCCTGGTTGTTTTCCTTGCTTGGTCCTTACTCGAAATTGCATGGTCAGGCTTGCCTTTACTTTATCATGTTGGGTTGAACTTCCAAGTCATTAATAATAAAAGAATGTCCAGGTCATCTCATGTCCTGGTCTTTAAAACATCAAGGCTTGGTTGACAATTCTTCAAAACATGTTGTTTCCAAGTCAATAGAAGTAACCAGTCTAATTGGCTTGGTTGAAAAATGTCTAGATCTTATAATGTCCTGGTCAAATTCATATCTTGAAAATGTCCAGGTCTTGTAATCTTGAAAACGTCTAGGTCCAGGGCACCTCATGTCTGGCTAGTTTTCTGGACCGACTTATGTCTAGGTAGAGCTGCTACAAATGTCCAGGTCAATAGGCGTGGTTGAAAGTCTTGAGGACCACTTTAGACGCAAGGCTTGAAAACTTCCAGGTCATCTCATGTCCTGGTTTCTTGACTTGAAAACGTCTAGGTCGGTTTCTTCCCTGCTTGTCTTCTGACCCAGTCAACTTCCAGGTTAGAATGTGACACTCGTCTAGGTTGAATTCTTCCTGACCAACTTCTAATGGCTTGGTTGCAATATGTAACCAGCATGACGTCAAATTTCCTGTCCAGGTGCCGGGTCAAAAATGTGACCGGTCAAAAAATATTTTTTCCAGATTTGTTTGATTTCATCAAATCCGCCAACTAAAAAAGTGACCGGTCACTTTCCTCAAAGTTGACCGGTCAAATTTTAATTTTTTCCCATTCGCATTTTCTTGCCAATCCAAAACATCAAAAAGTGACCGGTCACTTTTGACCATGCCACTTTCCTTTACCCCTTTGGCCTGGATGTCATGCCTAACAGTAACCTTGCTCAAATTTCGAACGAATAATCCGAATCGGTTTTGGAATCATCAAGTCTCAACATCAAGATCCGAACTTTCTTCGGAGATTTTGACCATGTCCTATGATCGCGAACCCTCTCCAAGGTTCAGCCCTCTTCCAGGCAACACCCTTCTTCCAGGGCCCCTCTTCCAGGTTTTAAGTTTTTTAATGTGCCTTTCTCTAATCATTAGGTTGACCTAGCCAACCCAATCTTCCCACGTGGGGGTATGCCGGTGAGAACCAGCCCTCATCCAATCCTACATGTCCATATGTTATGCGTTTGAAGTGAATTCTAGTCTTCCCTAGACCCTTCAATCCGCAAAGGATGGCTCATGCAAGACGGTAATTTTTTTTTACTTTGGCATCTTTTTGCCCCTATCCAAACGAAAATTTGGTAGGGATCCATGTAAGTATGGACGCGAGTCCTCTTCCAGACCCAGCCTATCTCAATGTCATACCTCAACATCAAGGCCCCTATCTCAAGGGTTTATCTTTTTTTTTATCTTGCCTCTTACATCAAGACATATTATTTTAGTATTACTGACCCAGCAACACAAGTATCGAAGAAAGCTCTTATTTATCATCAAAGGGGTATTACAAATACATGCCCTGCCAATTTGGCCTATCGGTAAAATTTTCTAAGGTGGTGGGAATTCTAGCACCTTTCCAACTCTCGACCTTCCATTGTTTCTAACTTGTATGTCCCAGGGCGTAATATTGCTGTGACCCTATATGGGCCTTCCCATTTCTTTGCAAGTTTTCCCCCGTCTCCGGGTTTGCTAGCCTCCCTTCTTCTCAGGACCTCATCACCCACTTGGAAATAACGAGGCCCTACCTTGTTATCATGGTAGGCCTTGGCTGCTTGCTGGTATTCCGTCATTTTAGCCTCAGCGACCATCCGCCTTTCTTCCAGCAAGTTTAGCTCTGCCAAATGGTTTTCCTCATTCCCTTTCTCTTCATAGAACTTCTCCCGAAAGGTCATTATTTTAGCTTCGATGGGTAGTCTGGCCTCACACCCATATGTAAGGACGAAGGGTGTCTCCCCTGTGGCCCTTCTTGAAGTGACCCGGTAAGCCCAGATGATATGTGGCAACTCCTCTAACCAATTCGTTCCTGCGTCACCCAACCGCTTTTTGATCCCATCTACTATTGTGCGGTTCGCATTCTCCACCTGGCCATTCCCTTGCGGGTAGGCCACGGAAGCTTTGTTGTGAGTAATCCCGAAGTCCTCCAAGTATTTGGTGAACCCTGGATTCCGAAATTGAGGCCCGTTATCCGTCACGATGTTTCGGGGTGACCCGAACCGAGTGATGATGTTCTTCCAGAGTTTCGCGACCGTGACGAACCAACACTACCAACGTATACGGAGCCGGAGGTGGGTAAAACACTTCATCAGCTATCGCTCCATGACATACTTCTTTCTCCCTTGAGCTTGAGGGAAGGCCCCAATGATGTCCATCCCAAACCTTGCGAATGGAATAACATTGGAAACTGGGTGGTAGTATGTTGCAGGCCTTCCCGGAAACTTGTAGAATACCTGGCAAATCTTGCACTTTTGGACATATCTCTCACAATCTTGGTTCATTGTAGGCCAAAAATAACCTAGCAAAATGATCCTTTGTGCGAGTGTCCTGGACATTTGGTGGTCTGCACAGACACCCTCATGAACTTCGGCGATCACTCTTTCCGCCTCCACCCTGGTCAAGCATCTCAGCAACGGACCGCCAAATGCTCTTTTGTGTAGCTTTCCATCTAGCATTTGGAATCTTGGAGCCCTCAACTTTACTTTTCTTACCCTGTCCTCATTCTCAGGGAATTGCCCGGTCATGTAATACTTGACCAAGTCATCCATCCAAATATCATCCGGTTCCACCAGGCCTAGATTGGGCTGTCCATCCTCCTCTATCAGGCTCACAGAAAGCCTTTCAATGCTAGCCTTTTCCAGCGTCTCGATCCTGGCCAGCTTGGACACATGCTTCGGGGCTGCTTGCGTCAATTTTGATAGCAAATCAGCATCGGTGTTCTCCCCCCTAGGGATTTGCTCCATCACATACTCAGTCAGGTCCTTCAATAGTGCCCTTTCCAAGTCTCTATACTTCTGCATTTTCTCTCCTTTGGCCTCCATGTTGCCATTGATGTGGCCTACCACCAAGCTTGAATCGGACTTGATCCTGAGGCATGTGATTTGTAGGGTTTTGGCCAATCTCAGGCCCCCTATCAACGCCTCATACTCGGCCTCATTGTTTGTGAGCTTGAAATTAAAAATCAAGGCATGATATACCTTAAACCCTTCCGGAGTTGTGAATACCACACCTCCCCCATAACCTTTTGGTCTAGAGGCTCTGTCGACCGACATGGACCACCAAAGCTCAGTGATGGCCCTGGCCGGTTCTTCTTCCTGGTGACCTGTCATCTCCACAAGAAAATCAGCCACAGCCTGCCCTTTTATCGCCGTCCTCGGATGATATTCAATGTTGAATTAGGTAAGCATCATGGCCCATTTGATCATTCTTCCTGATGAAGTAGAGTCCCTCATGACCGTGCCCAATGGTAGGTCAGTCAGCACGATGATGGGGTGGGCCTGGAAGTAGGAGGTGAGTTTCTTCGTCGTTATGAATAGTGCATACGCTGCCTTCTCTGTAGGAGTATACCTACTTTCCGCCCCATTTAAGGCCTTGCTTACATAATAAATAGGCCTCTAGACCCCATCATCCCTCATCAAGACCGAGCTAACGGCCATCCGAGTTACCCCCAGGTAGAGGTATAGGGTCTCCTTTGTTTCCGGCTTGGATAGGACGATATCCGAAGTCAAGTACGTCTTTAGCTCTTCGAATGCCCTGGCACATTCATCATCCCACTGGAAGGTATTGGCTTTCTTTAAAACCTTAAAGAAAGGCAAAGCCTTCTCTGCCGACCTGGACAAGAACCGGTTTAAGGCCGCCAAGCGCCCTGTTAACCGCTGGACATCCCTTACTGATGTTGGGGGTTGCATCTCAACAATGGCTTTGATTTTCTCAGGATTTGGCTCAATCCCCCTCTTCGTGACCATGAAGCCCAATAACTTCCCCGTCCTCACAGCAAAAACACACTTCTTCGGGTTAAGTCTAAGATTATGCCTAGCCATAATCTCAAAGCATTTTTCCAGGTCCTGAGTATGTGTGTCACTTACCCTGCTCTTCACCAGCATATCATCGACATAGGCCTCCATGGTCCGTCCAAGCAAAGGCCTGAACAATTTGTTGACCATTCTCTGGTAAGTTGCCCCTGAGTTTTTCAACCCAAAGGCCATCACCTTGTAACAGTATGTGCCGTCCGGAGTGAGGAAGGCCGTCTTCTCCTCATCATCCTCCGCCAGGAAGATTTGATGATACCCCTTAAAGGCATCCATGAAGCTAAGCAGCTCACACCCGGCGGTTTCATCAACCATTTGGTCCGGGCTAGGGAGAGGGTAAGAATCCATTGGACATGCCTTGTTGAGGTCTGTGTAGTCCATGCACATCCTCCAGGTATCACCCTTCGGGGCCAGGACAACATTGGCCAGCCATTCAGGGTAGTTTACTTCCCTGATATGACCTACCTCAAGTAGGTCCTTGACCTCTTTCTTCACAAAGTCCCTCCTATCACTTGCCAAGAATCTCTTCTTCTGTCTTATAGGCCTAGACCCCTCAAGAACAGAGAGACGATGGCAAATGACTGACCGGTCAATCCCGGGCATATCAGCAACACTCCAGGCAAATAATGATTTATACCTGGTCAACACCTGGACAATCTCAGTCCTTAACTCTTCCTGAAGATCAGCCCCAATTTTGACCTTCCTCTCAGGATTGGAGGCATCAATCTGGATCTCCTCCGTGTTCGCATCCGGCTCAATCCTTGCCTTCTCCTCACCCTTGTCTACCTGCTAGGAGACCAATTCAATTTGTTCGAACTGGCGGGTCATCTTCTTGACTGCTTCCAGGTAGCAGGACCGGGCGTTCTTTTGATCACCTCTTTCCTCCCCGATTCCATTGGGAGTGTAAAACTTCATGCATAAGTGTGCCATAGAAATGATGGCCCTGACCTGGTTGATTCCAGGTCTACCAAGAATAGCATTATGTACACACTTGATGTCGACCACAACAAATCTCGTTTGTTTGGTCACTGTCCTGTTACCCGACCCCAAGGTAACTGGTAAGGTGATCTGACCTTCTGCTTCTATGCTAGCACCAGTGAACCCTGACAATGGATTTTGTAGCGGTCTTAGCATGGACCTGTCAAGTTTCAATTTCTTGAAAGCATCTAAGTATAAAACATTGACACTGCTTCCTGTGTCAACTAGTACTCTGGCCACATCAGCTCCGTTGATGTCCATTGTAATGACCAAAGGGTCATTGTGATCTCCCCCCGTCCTGGGCAGATCCCTATCAGTGAAAGTGATAGGTTCCCTTCTTGCCTGCTTTCCTTTTGATTCCAAGGAAACCACCGCTACGTGTAAGCTCCTGGCCCAGTTCTTCCGCTGGGATGCAGTGTCCCCGCCTTCCGGGCCACCGACAATCATCTCAATGAATTCTTTATTCGGATTGTTGTTATCCTTCCCGGATTTTCTCCTTCCCTGGTCTTTTCCCTGAGAACGAGTCCAGGTGTTCGCTTTCGGATCCTTCTTATTCCCCGTCGCGTAACCTTCCCCAAGCTCTCCCTTCAAGGCCATCTCTTTGAGCACAGCCTTGACATTCCGACAATCCGCCGTATTGTGGGAGTCGGATTGGTGGTAGGTACACCACTTCTCCGTCCATGGACTCTTGGACTGCTCTCCCTTCTTATCATCCCTTATTTGATGGACAGACCCGTCATACGTAGCCTTTAGTTTGGACCCTCCCACCTGGTCGTCTTTCTTCGGCTTGTCGGTTTTCACCTTCGTATATCCTTCCTCCAATTCCCGCTTGCTCTTATTCAAGACCTCCGCATCGGCATACTCCCATGCCGTATTGTAGGCTTCTTGGTAAGAGGAGGGTGGCCTCCTACAGAATTCGGTGTAGAGGTCACCCGACCGGAAGGCATTCATCAGCAAAGACATGGCCGTCTTGTCGTCCATCTCTTCTACCTTGTCGACCTCATCCCTCCAACGGGTCAAGAATTGAGTTAAGGACTCCTTCTCCTTCTGCCCTACCGTGTTAAGGTAGGTGAACTTCTTCCTCTTGATGCAATTGTCCTGGTACTTTTTGCGGAAAACTTCGGCAAGTTTCTCAAAGGACCCAATCCTGCCATGGGGAAGGCCGTTAAACCATTCCACTGGCCTCCCTCTCAAGGATGAGAAGAAGAGTAGGCATTCCTCAGCATCAGTGTACCCGGCCATCTGTGCTGCATTTTGGAAGGTGTCAAGGTGGACGTTTGGATCCTCCTTTCCTGTGAATTTCTCCACGTCCAGCTTAATCTTCCGCCTCAACCTCTGCGCATGTACCCTGGCCGAAAAGGGAGATTTAGCCAAGGTGTACTTTTTTGCTCCCGCCTTCTCTTCCACCTTTTCCTCCAGGGCACGTAGTTTCCTTGCTACGCTCCCTATCTTATCCAGGTCATCCTCATCGTATGAGAGCCTGGTATATGCCGACGCCCTCGGCTGGCTTTCTGCTTCCTTCTTAGGACCAAGACGTAGCTTGGCGGACTTGCGGGGTCCATCCTCTTTGTCCCCTAGGCGTTTGAACACCGAATCTCGAGTCTTGCTGGGTTTGGCTATAGCCTTACCCTTCCTCCTGCGGGCCGCCTCCTGCTCCGCCTCATCGATTTCATGGACATTTGAGGGCGCTGCTTCATTCATAATCCCCGTCAAATTCACCGAATGTATAGGGACCATCCTAGGGACAAATGTCGACGGGGTCGACACTGGAGGTGGCATGATTGGTGGCGTCATGCCGGGATAGGCAAATGGCATGAAGCCCCCTGCCTGTTGCATCATGGCCATCACCTGTTGATAGCCCTGTAGAGCTTGAGCATTTGCCGGGTGAGCAGCAAACTGAGCCCAAGCTGACGGGTATGGTGTGAATGCTCCACCAGGTGTTGTTATCGAGCCTGGGAACATTGTTGTCGTCGACGTAGGAGTAGGGGTTGACATGATTGGGATCATGCCAATCGATCCTACAGTGGTGATCGGAGCAAAGGTCGTCCCCATGCTCGACATCATCAATGGGATGGCAGGAGTGCTTTCACTTGCAGCCTGACTTGACATAGCGTTGTAGTTGCTCGAAGACATGATTGTGGATATTTAGTGGGGGTAAAGTTTTGACCTGGTCGAAAAAAACTTTAAAAATCGATCCCACGGATGGCGCCAAAGATGATGGTGTAAAATATAGCGGGGTGGGTTAACCGGGTTTGACCTGGACACACTCGACCCGTAATATAACACACACAACAAGAACACGAAGTATGACCTAGACCGGGCAAATCTCCTCAGTCCGAACTATATTTCTTACTTTATCTCAAGAGTGAACTTTAGTGAGAGAAAAATTGGCCCCCCTCCTCTATCAAATATCATCATATTTATAGAGGAGGATTTGTGACCTTCCCCTGTTCATCCATGGACAAAATAGGAAGCTCGTGGGAAGGTCTGACATCTATTACCTTCGTGACATGTTAGTGTCTGAACGATGATTATGTTGGTTTTTTCGTGACAACAATCAAAGACTAAAATGGATATTCTCAATCCAATCAACCCTGCAAAATGACAAACATCCCTTTCACTGTATGCCTCGTGACGGATGAGCGGCGGGGTGTCCCCTTGACCTCCGACGTGGTTAACCATGCCTAGGAGACTGGACCAATGCTAGCAAAGTATCAAATTATGACCGGTCACCTTTTCTCAAAGGTTACCCGGTCATTTTTTGATCTCATCCCGTCTCTTTGGTCTTCCGGAATATCCTTCGTTACATAAGGTGACATTTTGGCTATCGCCCAAAATGTGATCGGTCACTTTTTTAGTTGAAGTGACCGGTCAACTTTTGACCCGTCCCAATTGAAGAGTTAACCTCATTTGGTGATTGGTAAAAGTGACCGGTCATAATTTGACCTGTCCCTTTCGGTTGTCCGGGTCGTGTATAGGGATATACCCATCAGTCATGAAGCCCCGGGGCTTCAAACTTTCTCTCTCTGCCACGTCAGCTTTAACTTACACCAAAAATTCACTGGAAATGGTTTTGAAGCCCCGGGCCTTCAAACTGGGGGCTTCAAACCTTCATTTTTTACATTTTAAATATACATCTTCTAAATTTAAATTAATAAATTTAAAATAATTTATTATTTTAAATAATCGCAATGTCACTAGTGCATTAAAAAAATTAAATTCATTATAAAAAAATCTTACATTCATAAAAAACATTAAAAAAAATTACATTCCTAAAAAAATTGCATAAAAAAACAACAGTACAAAGAAATCACTAATTATTCGAACGACTAAAGATATGCTCGATCAAATCCGCCGTCAGTGCATTGTGAATGTCTCGGCTTCGAATTTCTTGGCGGTTGCGTCGTTTCTTTTCTTCGGTGATTTCTTCGTACATAGGCACCTCCTCGTCTGGGTTGTATTGACAAATCGCAGACCCGTTATCCTCTATGATCATATTATGAAGAATAATACATGCGTACATGATATTCCTCATTTTTGTCTGAGAATAACATTTCGACAGACGATCTAGAATGTGCCACTTAGCCTTCAAGACCCCAAAGTCTCGTTCAATGTCTTTTCTCTCCGCCTCTTGAGCTTTTTTGTATGTCTGGCGTTTAAGACCCATTGGTTCAGAGAGGGATTTCACAATCATGGAATAATCCAGATATATTCCATCGGCCAAATAATATCCACGCTTGTAAAGCGTCCCTCTAAGCTCAAAAGAGGAGTCCGGTGCGGTCTCATTAACCCAATCGTCAAAAATAGGCGATTGATCGAGAACGTTGATGTCGTTGTTCGAGCCCGCGACACCGAAAAAAGCATGCCAAATCCAAAAGTCATTCGAAGCAACAGCTTCGAGCATGATGGTAGGCTTGGGATGATCTCCCCGGGAGAATTGACCGTGCCACGCAGTGGGACAATTTTTCCATTCCCGATGCACAGGACCTGATGCTCCGAGCCGACATCTTCAAGTATTCGTCGAACATATCGGATGTCGTCCCGTACGCCAACTGACGGAGCGCGGCAGTGCACTTCTGGATGCCACTAAACCCGCATCGGCCTCTCGCATCAAACCGTTGGGTGAACCAAGGAACCTCGCGTTCAACATCGGCGAGTATGCGTAAGAAGAGAGGACGACTCATCCGAAAATGATTACTAAAATCCTCTGGTGTATAAACACACGGATTATTAAAGTAGTCGTTTAGAAGTGAAGCGTGGGCAGCCTCTCTATCCCAGTTTAGACGTTGGCGTCGGGTCCGTCGTCGGGAGGATTCGGTTTCTTCTTGGCCATCTTCCCACCATTGAATACAATTTGTCGCGAAACAACGAAAAAATAAAGCTCTTCTTTCATCGTCGGAAGATGAACCCATTTTTAAAATATTTTTTTTAAAGATTTATAATAAATCCTTTATATATATAAAGCAGAGTTAGAGCTGCAGGAATGCGACATTTGGCGGATCTAAAGGGTGACATGTGGCGGAGCTTATGTGTCAACAGTTTAGACAAATAATGGTGATGTGGCAATTTGAGGGGCATTAAATAAAAAAATCTGCAAAAGAAAAATTTCCTTCGCCATTTGCTCTCTTTCGATTTAATAGATTTTAAAATAGTTTCTTAATAGAGGAGTTGAACAATGATAAAGAAAAATTATCATTTAATCTTAAACATTATATATCTAAAATGAATGAAGACCAGATGAAGATATACGACGATGAACTCTATGTTTTGCTATAACTATGAACAAAAGTCAAGGTCAAATATTCCTATTTGTTTGATTATTTTAACTAAGTTGAAGTTCACTCATAGTCAACTTTATGTTATTGTTCACGAGTAAAAAAAAAGACAGAATTAAAAATATTAGTTCTAAATGATAATGAAATCTTGCAACCACACCAAAAATATTATATTCTCCTATCCGAATGCTTTAAAAAGTATGAATTTAAAAAAGATTTTAAGATGTTTGGATTTGAATTTATATATGAGCATTTTCATTACCAAATATTAAATGCTAAATTATTTATTTTACTTTGATTTTAATATCTAAAGAACGCATTACATATACTTTCATAAACTCATTTAAAAATATTACATTGAAAATAATTGACAGAATCAATTAAAATTTCATTCAATCCCATGCATGGAAAATTCTATTTTGATAATAGAAACATGTCACATCTACTTTGGAAGATAAGAGTTATGTTTTACTCATCTTTTAGGTTATTTCTTTTTTTTAAAACTGTAATAGAATAATATAAAATAAGAGATGACTGAGCTATAAAAATGTTAAAGTAAAACAAAGTTCTATAGTATATAATTTGATAGTTTGAGAATATGAATTTTATGATTTCATTCAATTACTCGATAATTTATGCTTTATAGTTCTTAGATGATTTATTATTTATGATTTCTCTTGAAATGAGATTATTTTTAATTATTTGTTACGCACTATGATACTTTTAATTATGTATCAGTGTCACTTATAATGTTTACATGAGCATTCTTTACAATTTCACCATCATTGAGTAAATTTAATCCTTTATCCTTTATATATATATATATATTTGAGACTCCTTATTCTAAAAATTTGACATGTGGCTCTTTAAAAAACGACAAGTAAGTCTTTAAAAAATTTACATGTGGTGATATCTATGTGGCATTATTTTTTGAAATATTCTAATCTTTATATACTCCGTATTAAATTTGAGAGTTAAACTTTTAGAATTGCGACAAGTGGCGAGTCTAAATGACAATATTTTAACAAATCACCCGCCACCTATTAACGACTTGAATGACGTGGTAATTTTAATAAAAATATGGGTAGATCCAATTTAAGTTGTATACGGAGTATATGTCTTATTTACAAAGTCTCGCTATAATTTTGTGGAAAACATACTCCGTACAAGAATAGGGATAAATATGGAGAAAATAACAAAATAAAAATGCATATTTTTTATCTCCAAAATAGGAGCTACCAAACATAAAAAGATTCTTTAGTTTTAAAAAGAAGTTATTGGTAATAACTTCAAGGTTAAAGTATATAAAATTGACCAAAAAAGTCAATTGAGAAGATTAAATCCAAACACAGAGAGAGTATTATGGAAGAAATTAGGACCTACATGAAATTTTTTCTAATTGAGTGAGAACTAAAATTCATATTTTTTATTAAAAATTTTATAAAATCAGCTTCTAAAATAATTAAAATAAAAGTTTAAAATTTTTAAAACCAACTTCTAGAATAATCAGTGAAATTTAAATTTTATTTTTCTAACTTATTTATAATCAAAATAATACTCTTTTCTGAAAATTTCAAATTCATATTTGTGACTAACAAAATGTTTTACGTGTCTAAAAAACTCAAGATGAAGAAAGAACTCATAGTGACAAAATTAATACGGGGTGGATTTTTTCGTGGGTTTCATAGGGTTTATCTTAAGGATTAGTAACTCCATCTGTTAATCCCCTCTTCATTTTTTTTGAATAAAACGTTTAACGCATGAGATTTCATAAAATATATTACGGAGTAGTAAAAAACTTTTAAAAATCTTTATATTTCAATTTGTAAAATTTCAAATAATTTCATAAAAATATATTTATAAAAAAATTCCTAAAAATCAAATAAATTTATTTTCCAAAAATAAAAAAATTATAGTCGCATTTGATATATTTCACAGAACTTATATTTGAAAAAATTAAAAACAATCACATTTATTTTATAGTCGAGTTTTGCTTAAATTGTCAAGTGAATCTATTTTCAAAACAAGTAAGAAAAGAAATATAGTTACATTTTTTTACATAAAAGTTTAATTACATAAAATAATTACATGTATTTTACATCCAAAAATTTTTCCGCTTAATATGAATTTATTTTTAAACAGCAAAAATAAATATAGTTGCAAGGGTTTCCACAAAGAAAAATTATAAAAACATTTTAAAATAATCATAGGTATTTCACTTTTGACTTCATTGAAGTTACGACTACTACTTTTTAAAAAGCACAAAAAGTATTTGCATGAGATATATACAACAAAACAATATTTAAAAAAACAAATCACGTATTTTTCATACGTGAATTTTATCAAAATTGTACATAGATATGAAGTGGGGGATCGGAGGCGAGGTCATCCTCATTCGAAACTTACCAGCGTGAACATGAGTGGCTAATAGAGAGACACAAAACATTGGGGTGCCGCTAAATGCACAATTGGGATAAAATTATAATTATTATCACGGAGACCTAAGTTGGAGAAAGATTAATTCGAAAGGGTCATTTTGAAAAATTACTCTACAT